TCAGAAACCTCCTAGAGCATGTTAAACACCAGAATGTCTTCATCCTGGTGAACCAGATAAAATTTTCTGGTTAACAAAAGATGAAAGTTGTCCACTGTACTTATCCAAGAATCTGAATGCATTTAGGCATTCATTAGTGAGCTAAGTGGTTTCATATCTTTGTAGGTGAACTTAATTTCTCTATTGCTGTTCAATTGCTCTTAAAATCTTGACCATTAAGTCTACCTTTGATTCTGTTTAAAGCAGATACTGTCAGAGCACTGATGCTGCCTGGTCTGAGTTTAAAAGAAGGAAGAAACGCCAGCTGTGTCATTTGGGCCATACAGACCAGCAATGCAGCTCACATGCAAGGCGTATGTAGAAAATAGGGGGAAAAAATAGTATATACAATTCCAATAAAAATAATTTCCTTTCAAAAAAAAATCTCACTTGGAAAAAGTCTACACTTCTTTCATTCTACAGTCTAGTATATATCTGGGTGACCTAATGGAGTTGCCAGCCATTTGGTGGAGAAGAATTGGCAGAGGAACTTAGCTGGCAACTGTCCCGTGTCTAGTCTTGGGACCTCAGCTGCCACTGAATTGACCAGCCTCTAAGACATTATTTGTAAAAATGAAAACTGACACACGTTTTTCCATGTAAAACTCTTCTAATACATTGTACCTTAAATACCTTTAATAGTAACATTTAAAGCACATTCTGTAATGGCAGGCTTAATGCAATTCAAAGAGCAAGTTTAGAGTAGATAACTGAAGTGCATTAGGCAGGAGTCAAGACCAACAGACTCTAGCAAACCATCTCCCCTCCTACCAGATATTCCTTCCAACACCAGCCGTGTACCATGCTCATTCTCCAGCTAGCCAACTCCAGACGCCACCGCTGTATAGAGAACGCGTGAAAAACCATGGCTCCCACCTACGAGAGCAGGGGCACGTTCCGCCTGACAGTATTTGTATCAGCTCCAAGTTCTCAGTTTCTCCAGGCTTCAGGACATTTTAATTTGTAATTTTTTAGAAAACGAGTGGCCTATCACTTAGCACTGTCACCGGAAGATAACATTTCAGTGATTACTCAGTGCTGACATTTTATCATTTAATATTAAAATCCCATCAGAAATCCCTAGCCTGATAAGCTAAAAGATGAGGTTTGAAAAGAAGGCACCTGGCAAATCTGATTTGTCGTAATCAAAATGGCACTTTGTCAGATGGGAACTAATTATCAACCTGACACCATTTCAATCTGCTGCCATTTTATGAAATGAGATCTGTTTGCTCTCTTTTAAAGATGCTCAGGCTTGCCGCTCCTTAGCTAGACACCCAATTTCACCTGTTCTCGTGAGAGTCTTCTCTTATGCAAACCGGTGGGAAAGCAATTACGTGCTCCAAAAGACTAAGAGGAGAAATTTCCCATTCACAGACCTGTCATGTTCACCTCTTAAAATATAACTTCTTGCCAAATGTTAAGATGCCTTTTTTATTTTATACAGTCACCTAACGATCTGAGAAAGCATCCTCTCTGAAGGCAGTTTCATCTCTCAAGTTCAAGGCGACAGCCCATACAGAACTCCAGGGCTCTACCCGGAGACTGCCTGGTCAACGAAGGCAACACGCTCATTTACAGAGCGGAAGACGCGTGTCTTTGGGCTGTTCAAGGCTACTTAGGGGCTACTGCTGGACCGTAAGCAGTTGCCAAGTTAAATGCTCCAAGCAGACACAAATGATGTTTTAGCAGAGAACAGAGAGAGGGGAAAGTGGAACTTAAACAGGAGCTATTTCACCCCTTTGTGGCTTCAGGACGCTGTTGGAGTCTCCATGGGTGGGAAGAAAGGAGAATCACTTTGACTACCTCATGCCAGGAAATGCACTACCTGCCTCTCATTGAATGCTCTCACACATACCTCCCTTCTCTTTCCTAACAGAGAAGGAAACTGAGGCCCGGGGATGCCCTATAAATTTCACGCAGTCTTAGTGAGTGGGGATCTTAGAGACAGGTTCTTTCTACCATTCTTGGCTACTTCTCCCATCATGGAAAGAAAAACACGAGGCAGTAAATTTTCTATTAAGCTTCCTCTCACATGTTGAAAAACTCCACTTACTATTATTAAAGAGCAATGCTTATCTTTAAATAATGAAATTCAATTTAAAGCTTTAAAAATAAATCAGTGATGGTCAGGTGTGGTGGCTCACGCCTGTAATCCTAGCACTCTGGGAGGCCGAGGCGGGCGGATTGCTCGAGGTCAGGAATTCAAAAACCAGCCTGAGCAAGTGCGAGACCCCGTCTCTACTATAAATAGAAAGAAATTAAATTGGCCAACTGATATATAGAGAAAATATTAGCTGGGTATGGTGGCGCATGCCTGTAGTCTCAGCCACTCGGAGGCTGAGGCAGGAGGATTGCTTGAGCCCAGGAGATTGAGGTTGCTGTGAGCTAGGCTGACGCCACGGCACTCACTCTAGCCTGGGCAACAAAGCGAGACTCTGTCTCAAAAAAAAAAAAAAAGAAAAGAAATCAGTGACATACAAGGAAAAAAGTTTCATATGGTTAAGAAAGGAAACCAGAGGAGAAGGGGAGGGGAAAACAAAGTTGTTTTTCTAGCCTTGCAATATTTGGTTCTTCTCTGTGCGGCTTCCCTATGGGAAGCAGAACTCTCAGGACACAGGTCGTGGAGTGCCGAGGAAGTCCCCGACGGAAAGACTCAGCTCTGGATCGCTGCTGCGGGGAACGACGCCACGTGTCACGACATGCAGAGCGGAGCGCGGGGGACAAGCGTGCCCGAGAGTCAGTACATGAGCGAGGCATCATCCTCCCCAGCACAACCGCGGCCCGTTTACCTTGCAGGCACCAAGGTGTCCCAGTGACCCGCACGCCCAGCTGGCCAGGGCCGCCCTGCACCTCCCCGCCTCCACCCTCAGCACGCACGGCTCCGGGCACCTGCGCCCCGGTCCACGCGGAAGACAGCGGGGCCCTCCAGCGGGGCGCGGGGAGCCAGCCATTCCCAACTCCGCCAGGGCTCTGACCCGACAGGACGGCTGTAAACACTGAAAAGTAGCCTCATGTCCTATGTCGAATTGGAGAAACTCCTTCACTTCAAGGTTTATGAGAAACCAAAAAAAAAAAAAAAAATTGCTGTAACGGTTCATTTCGGGTGTCAAATTGGCTAGGCCAGGGTTTCCAGCTATTTGCTCAGACACTAGTCTAGATGTTTCTATGAACATGTTTTTCAGATGAGATGAACATTTAAATCCATAGATTTTTTTTTTAACAAAGCAGATTACCCCACCGCAGTGCGGGTGGGCCTCACCTAATCAGCTGAAGGCCTGGAGTGCAAAGAAGCAAAGGTTGAGGTTTCCTGAAGAAAAAAGGAAATTCAGCCTCCAAACACAACACAGAAACCCTGCCTGAGTTTCCAGGTTGCCGGCTTCCCCTAGGGATTTGGGACTTGCCAGTCTCCACAATTGCAATTGCATGAGCCAATTCCTTAAAATAAATCAATCTCTCTCTCTTCTCTCTGCCCCTCCCTCCCCTCCTCCCCCCACCCCCATCCTGTTTCTCGGGAGAATCCTGACTGCTAACACTATTACCAAGCAGATTAAACAGCCCATTCCCTCTATTTCAGAGCAAAGAGGAAAGAGGCATTTGGCAAAATATCAATTGCTTAGAAAATCAGAGAATTAAGAGTCTATGTGGAAAAAGGGTTTTGAACACCCTTCAAATGCCAAGTTGCATTTCCCGCTAACTCCTTGAAATTATGCGTATGAGACACGCCCTTTGGACATTCTGGGCCAGGACTGGGGCGGTGGGGCCAGGGGCACCTGCATTGGAATCTGGCCTCAGCCCCCTCCTGAGTGTGTGGACACAGGCACATGACTGCACCTCTAGAAGATTTCCAAACCTTGGTTTAAATGCAGCAGTGAAAGGACCACAGACGGAAGCACCCAGCTCAGACCCTAGAAAGATTAATGCTCACTACGTGGTAGCTTAGGGCGATTGTTGTGGATACAAAAAGCTGATAATAAAACGCACTTCCTCCCAGCCCTAAGGGGGAGAGAGACACATACAAGGATAATCAATATAATGTTTCAAATGACCAAGAAAGTACTCATGTGGGTGATTATTGGAACTCAGGGGAAGGGAGGCTGAGTCAGCCCAGAAGGAGAAGTTTGCCAGGTGACCGGGAGCAGGCAGTCCAGGTAGCGGGCACTAGGTCACTGCACAAGCGAAGCCAGGTGCTGGCCAGCACGCCGACTGGCCAGGGACATGTGTGGGGACTCATTGTGCTAGAAAGTATTCTAAAGGGCCAGCTCATGCAAGGATGGAGATACGTGCAGAATACAAACGAGAGGAAAGAAAGGCTGCCCCGTGCATCCTGTTCAGCCTGCACTAGTAGGTTGTGCAGACACAAATTTTGACTGGTAATCACTCTGACTTCTGGGTATCCAAACTTCCATAATTAAAAATCAGTAATACAAACGCAGAAGGCATTTGGAAAATAAATGATAAAACGTTTGAGTGTTTACACAGGGAGCCAGAGGGGTGACATACTGTGCACCAAGTAAGAATGTTAATAGATGACACAATTCTGAATGGACTGCATTGTGCTTTTCATGCACATTAAACTGGAAAAATATATTCTGTTAGCGTAAACATGCAGAAGCAAAAGATATGGACTACGGTAAAAGCTGTGCAATGGCATGGTAAATTGTTAAAAAGATATTTTAGTCTGTTATAAGCTTCAGCTTGTCTTTAATTTCCTCCATTTTACTCATATTTTCTTATTTTTCTACAATGAATGTGAACTGCTCATGAAAAGGAGGAAGGGTATTTTTAGAACCCTGCCAAGAATGAGTCTAGAAGAGAAAACTTTGTCATAAGTGAGTAGTACGAAATCGCTTCTATTTACACATTCTGTGGGCTGACATTTGCACAGATGCAAAAGAAAAACTAACAGTCTTTTGGGATTGGCAGAGGCGAGAGATTTGCAGTCTACGGGTGAGACCCACCTGGGTCACAGAGGCATTTGTAGCTGGTGCCCACGCTGCGACACGTGCCGTGGGCGCACGGGCTGAGGGCGCAGAAGTCAACGAGCTGGGCGCAGGCCGGCCCCGTGAAGCCGGGGCTGCAGCTGCAGGTGAAGTGCACGCCGTCCGCATAGCAGGTGCCGTTGTTCTGGCACGGCGACGACGCACACGGGTCCACCTTCTCCTCACAAGCAGATCCGAAGTATCCTGTGAGAAGACGCACAGGGGCTTAAAAACATGAAAACACACTTGCACATAATGACTAACAAACTGAGTCTGCAGGTCTTTTCTCCATTGTGTACTGATTAACCCATTCGTCCATTCATAGTATCCAGATATGTCACAACCCAGCAGGGTAGGCAACTTGTTTTTCTTAGCTTTGGTAACCTAGGGTTAAAATATTAAGCCCTGTAATTCCATTTTTTGTTGACATATAAAATACATGACTGATTTAGAAATATATGTGTGTGTGCATAAATATATTTATATGTACACATGTGTATGGACATACAGTCTAAAAGGATACCAAAAATTAATTAATGGCAATTACCTAAAGGAAGGTAATATTTTGGGTCAGCAGAGGCTGCTTTTTATAGACATTCCAGGGGAATACATTCCTTACCTTGCTTTAATAAATAAGACATGATGCTGAGTTTTAAAAATTAAAACCATATAAATTGGCAAACAATGAAGAAATCTCTTTCCATCCCATCCCTTTGTTCTGCATTCCTTTCTCTACAAGTAGCCACTGGTTAACAGTTGGTTACTATGATGGATAAACTACCTGCACAACGGAATGCCATTTAGCAGTAAAAAAGTACTAAGTACTGACATGAGTTACAACATGGGAGAACCTCAAAAACATTATGCTAAGCTGAAAGAACCCAGATACAAAAGATTACATATTGTATAATTCAATTTGTGAGAAGTGTGCAGAAAACGCAAATCTATAGACACAGAAAGTAGATAAGTGGTTGCCTGTGGCTGGGCTGGAAAGAGGCTTGACTGCAATCAGGCATGAAAGGTCTGCTGGGGTTGATGGAAATGTTTTAAAATTGGATTGTGGTGATGGCTGCACAACTCTGTAAATTTACTTAAAAGCAATAAATTGTACACTTCAAACAAATGAGCCAGGCACGGTAGCTCATGTCTGTAATCCAAGCTACTGGGGAGGCTGAGGCAGGAGGATCGCTTGAGCCCAGGAGTTCGAGGCTGCAGTGAGCTATGATCACACCACTGCAATCCAGCCTCTGTGACAGAGCAAGACTCTTGTCTCTTAAAAAAAAAAAAAAATTCGCTAATAAATTTTATGTAATATACAATTATGAAAGGCTGTTAAACTTTTTAATTTTAAATGTAGTTATTGTATAGGTAATTTTTATTTTGTTTTCTGTATGATTCAGTATTTAAGTTAAAAAATTATACATACGTATACATGTGGGTCTATATGGCTGCATACGTGTGGGTATGTGTATTTAACATAATGCTTTGGATTAAAAACTATACTTCTTTTAATACTTTAAGAACAGTTTGAATATTAAATAAAAATTATTCAAATTTTAGAAATAAAAGTTAAATATACTCATATGCAATTTGTATTCTAATAATCTATTTCACTTTTCTTATCTAAATTTAAGTTTATATTTACCCATCTTCATACAGAACTCCTAGCAACAGTCCCAATTTTTGTTGTTATTGTTAAGGACATAGTGAATATTTAAAACAAACAAAAATAAATCCCAGATTTAATTATCTGAAGCACTACTCATAAATTGGCATAATCAACTTGGTATTGCTCTGTATAGAAGCACAGATATAGAAAATTCTCCTCCAAGAAAATCCAGTGCTATTCAACATTTTATAAAGTTCCTGGTAGCTTTTAAATTTTAGAAATCATACTAAAAATGCCCCATACAATCAGTTTTAATAATCCTGGAATTCTCCAAAGAATCTCTTGGCAGCCTAGTGTGGAATATAATTCTATCCTTTGTCAGATATATTTCATCTTACTCTGATTGTCCTATATGTTATCAACATTATTTAACATGTTACTTCAAAAATAGGTTTTAATATCTCAAATCTCAGCTGGACGTGGTGGCTCACGCCTGTAATCCTAGCATTCTGGGAGGCCAAGGTGGACGGATTGCTCAAGGTCAGGAGTTCAAAACCAGCCTTAGTAAGAGTGAGACCTTGTCTCTACTATAAATAGAAAGAAATTAATTGGCCAACTAAAAATATATAGAAAAAGAAATTAGCCGGGCATGGTGGCGCATGCCTGTAGTCCCAGCTACTCAGGAGGCTGAGGTAGGAGGATCCCCTGAGCCCAGGAGTTTGAGGTTGCTGTGAGCTAGGCTGATGCCATGGCACTCTAGCCCGGGCAACAGAGTTGAGACTCTGTCTCAAAAAAAAAAAAAATCTCAAATCTCTTAATTTTAGAACAAAATAAAATTAATTATTATCTGTCTAGAAAGTGTGGCATAGCCATTTAAAATATAAAAGGTCCATTTAATTTGTTCATTGAATTTGACACTGAAAGTAATTAATTTTTTTTCCCTAGGTTAACGACTGTGGACGTACACATGTCTTTACAAGAAATTCAGGTTCAGGATAAAATCCACATTCAAGGCTTGGTGCTAATTTACCCAAAATAGCAGCTCAAGGTGAATAAGAAAATTCTAAGTTTTAACACTTAGAATCAGAAATCAAATTCAAGAGGATATTTCCATTATTTTTTTTCCCTGCAGGAGAACTGAACTAATGATCACAGAAGGGGACAGGTGTCTTTTAGTTGAGAACACAGAGAATGATCATAGGAACTGGGTCCTTGAAAACCCTCTGAGATTAAGATAGATAAGATAGATAAGAACCTGATTGAAAGAATATCTAGGGAGGATCAAAGATAAGAAAATTTGAGAACAAAAAGTTTACACCTAAGTTAGGAGCATACAAATGAAAAGTATTCATACTAAGAACTCCCAGAACCCAGTAGAAGGGTTGAATATTAATATGCTTCTCAATGATGTTTAAGCATCAGATTGGCAATGGCATGGGGTAAATTGCTTCCTCCAAAATTCATATTTTTTAATCAGCTTTCTCAGGTTGAATAAAATTCCTATTTTGAAGCCCTGACTCCCAATACCTCAGAATATTACTGTTTAGCACCACGGCCTTTAGAAAGATGACTGAGTGAAAATGAGGTAGTTAGTGTGGCCCCGATGGAATCTTACCAGTGTGTTTATAAGCAGAGATTCAGACACACACAGAGACACCAGCAATGACTGTGCAAAAACAAAAGAGCACGAGGAGAGGCAGCAAGAAGGTGGCCGTCTGCAAGCCAAAAAGAGAGGCCTCAGAAGAAATCAACCCAGTCAGTACCTTGATCCTGAACTTCCAGCCTGTGGAACTATGAGAAATAAATTTCTGTTGTTTATATTAACCAGTCTGTGGTATTCTGTTATGGCAGCCCAAGCAAACTCCTGCATACAAGGAGCGTGCAGAGACAGGGAAGCAGGCTTGGATTCTTGTGCTTGAAATTCTGTATTTATCATGCCCTGAAAATTGGGAGACCCTAGCATACATCGCAAGTCCCAATCTCTCTCATCTTCCATGGCCTCACCTGGTAACGAGGGCTGAAATTATCTTATTTATAAGATAATTGTGGGTTCTAAAAAGATATGTATCAAAATTCCTAGAAAAGTCCCCAGACCAAGGCTGGATGAATGAATGAATGAATGAATGGATGGATGGATGGACGGATGGAATAAAAATAATAATAACAGCAACAGCTAATATCCACTGGGTGCTGACATGTACCAGGTGGTTCTAAGTCTTTATGTGCATTATTTCATTTAACCCTGCTGTAATAGTAGGATGTAAGAACTATTAGTAACTCTGCTTTACAGATGGGGAAACAATGAAACAAGAATGTGAAGGAGGCTGCTCAAGTTCATAGCTAGTAGATGGGAGAGCTGGGATACCAAGGCCAAGCTCTTACTACTCTGCTATAATGCACAGAAGAAAAGTGACTGATGGACCAATTAAGAAGATGCTGTGATGCATAAGCATAACCAGGACTTATGTTTCTATTCTGTTTGTGTATTGGTAAAAGAAGAAATTCCTATTTGACATTGATTAAGTCAAAATAAAGGGAAAAATGAATTTTAGAAAGGTAATCATTCCAGCTTTATGTCAATATAACCAGTTATAGATATTAATATAATCCACCTAGAATAGTTCAAGTAGACAGGTAAAAAGAAAAAAAGACTGGTAAAAAGAAAAAAAAGAAAGAAAGAAAGTGGGGGGGGACATAAAGGGTCATGACTTTGCTCTGAGAGAGCCAATATTTCCATAGGGCCAAGAGGAGTGTGGAAACTGAACAGAAGCGAGGGCACTGGTCACAGGCCAGATCATGAATGGTCCTATATGTTGCACTAAGGACTTTGCATTTTATTCTGAAGCTACTGGATATCATCTATTTGCATTTCTTATCTCCCTAATTACAGGCCACATGGAGAGTAAATAGAGGAGGTTAAGATTGGAAGCAGGAAACAAGGTATTCACTAGAGTAATTGAGGTTGTGAAGGCCAATTTGTAGCAATAGAAATAAAGAATGTGAAACAGATTGGAGAATGAGTTTACACTGTCAATTCAGGGACCACCTGGACTGTAGAAGAATGAAACAGTCAGAGCCCAGGGAAACAATGTAAGGGAGTCAAAAACTCAAATGCCAGCAGTAGTTAGACAGATAATCTTGATAAGGAGAATGGGCCAGGTGTAAGACAATAGGGAGTGTCAGGGACTGTGGCAAATTCCAGAAAGCATGCCCTTTCCAAAAAGGATGGCTGCCATCACCTGCAGCTAATTTGAAATGTGGGGTCAGTTACTAGATCTTCTGAATTTTCAAGAAAAATCTGAAATCCAGTTTCTTATTTGAACCTTATCTATTTTAAAGCATTTATAAATTATTTCTCTAGCAACTAAAACATGTCTGTGGCCCTGTGTACATGACTCCTCTGTGTGACTTAATGTTTAAAAGCATGGGCTTTGGAGCCAAAGTGAATTGGGTTTAAATACCATCTCTGCCTATTCAAGTGTAGGACTTTGGGCTAGGACTTACTCACCTTGGCCCTCTGCTTCTGCATTCATGGACTGGAGACACTAATGCCTACAATTTATGTCACTTATGATGCTTAAATGCAAAAATCTAT